GATTAGTTCTTGCAATCACTCAGTCTAGTTGTAATAATTATAAAACACTTCATACAATTAAACTAATATAGTTCATGTTATTTTTCCGATAAAGTTTGTGCAACTATTATTTATTAATTCTCTTAAGCATAAATTTAGTGACGACAACTATAAAATAGTTAATTAAACTATGCAAATAGTTCTATGACTAATATTTTTATAGTTGTCACCTATATAGTTGCCGTGACTAAAATTTTTTCTCTCTGTTGTTAACTGTCTTTTTTCCCCCACAGTATTCTTAATGTTTTCAACCATGTAAGAGCAGCACTGTACATATCGGGACAGCTACGCCGACTAGGCTGTAAATGACAAATTTTGAGCATTTCTTTCTATTCTGAGGAAAAATCGTGACTTTGACGTTAGAGCGAGCACGATCGTTGCTATTTTACATGGCAACGTGAGGTGTTCGTTATCCAGCGTTACTGCTTTCGAGCGAGATCGTGACATGTCAGGAGGATCTCAATGTGAAGTTCGCAACACGATCGAGGGCGAATTCCTGCGGACTTTCACCGTGCCGAAGGACGAGAGATCGGCGTAAACTGCTAAGTAATCACGTGGCTTAACACTATTGTTATCGATCCAGCCGATTCGGTACACCGACCGTACGCCGCATGTCCGCCTGACATTTTCGTTTCATTTCGCGAAGGAGTGACTTTGACACGGCGCCGTATAACCCGGAATTATCGTTATCTGACGATGAATACAATATACGGCTCGCTGCACATAAACGCAATGATACTGTCGAAATTGTCGAGTCATACCTTAATGTCTCCGCGATAAGATCGTTCAGGAGAGTAATACGCCGATCCTAGAGTTTTTTGCGGTCCTACATTGATCACGTCGATCGCGCCGAAAAAAACCGCCCGCACCATAGATCCTTAATGTTTTATAGATCTTTAATAATTTCTATATCTCTACCTTTGTTCGGGTTCTTGCTTTCCTCCTCCGTGTATTCTGCAATCTTGCTCACGCGGTCTGCTTCGTCATCTCGCGCTGCAACAAATGCACGGACTTTTATTTATCGTACACGGTGTCTAAGCATTATCGTATCAACCTTTAAGCATAGCATGTCGGTACGCGAAAGGGTATAACTTTGTTCACTGGCCGCAGCTACGATCGCACGAGAAATCACTGTCACTCTGTCGAAATAACGAGAGCAACCAATTGCCCGAGGGCTCCGACAAGCGAAGAAAAAAAATCAGATTGAAATGCATAATAATTCGTTTCAATCTTTGAATCATATTTATATCACATATGTTTTTATAAACGCGTTTGCGATTACGCGATCGGCGGAACTGCTCTGTGGATGACATATTAATTGAGGAAAGTTAACGGCGGGCCGCATAGAGGACTCCTGCGAAACAAGAGACGTGCCTAAAGAGGTCACTGATAATGAATCGAGGTAATAGTTTGTCGTCGGTGGACACAGCTGCACCGTTGACTCCAGTTGACCCGCACTTATTAAACACCAGATACACTGAACTGTGCATGTGCACCAAAGTGCCAAGTCCCTACGAAACTTTTTTTATATAACATAAAATTATCACAAATTTCGATGACCCTTTAACCCCCAAATAATAATTTCATCTTAATCAATTTTATTGCAACTGATAGGAAACTTCAATTCTTTTGAAATTTCTGCTGCAAGATCTATCATTTGCGCACGCACATCTCGCGTGTTCGAATGATCGCATTTGCGAAAAGTGGCCGGTCGTAGTGAACAGTTAGGAAATAAAGGAAAACCTGACTTTTTTTTTGCATTGCGTCGACGATGCACCGCATTCCTCGTCGGTGAACACTATGGCAAGCGGCGGCAAGCGGATTAGTCGCGCGATCTTAGTCGTAAAACGACTTCTTGTATCGCGGACGATTTTTCTTCTGTTCACGCGAGCTTAGACGCATCGTGAGTTTTACTCGAATTGTCTTCGTTGACATCCTAATATGGATTTACTTTAAAGAATGCCGCGCATGGCCATTCTAGCCACTGGATAAAAGTTAAAAGCACAGCACTGTTAACAGACGCAAATGTTGAAAAGTACAAGAAAGATCGCGAATTGAAACTTGTGTGATACGCGATGGCCTTAATAATCTCATATGCATTTAGATGTAATTAATTTCAAACTGAAAACTTTGAAGTTAACAGCGTGCAGTCTTTACCTTCTATGTTTCGTAATATTTTTTTACAATGGTCAATTATTTTCCGAATTATCAAAAAAATCTAGAAATATACGAAGAACGGTGGAAGGGAGAAGCGAGATAGGTACAGAAGGAAGGGGAGAAAGGACCAAGCAAAGTTCAGCGAGCCCAAGAAAGGCAGATGCACGGAAACTGAGCGAGCGAAAAAGAGAGAGAGGCAGAAGGAAGGAAGCAGAAAGAGCGAGCGAGAGAGCGAGCGAGAGAGGGCTGTAAGGAGCCGAAAGAGAGAAAAGGGAGCAACGAAAAATAAGAAGAGTGGTTCCCCTCTTCGGTCCGAGAGGTTGGGAGCGGGTGGCCTTGAGCAGGTCATCACCTCCGGCTGCGGTGGTGATGCTGCCTGCGCTGGACCATCTTAACTTCTTCTTCTTCTTCTTAACTCCTTGAACCGTCCTTCTCTCCTCCACCATCTCCCATCTCCTCTCCTCGCCAGCCTCTTCCTCCTTTCTTCTCCCCACGCTCATCTTTCGCTCCATCCTCGTTCCTTCTCTCTTCCTTACGTCTCATCCGGCTCGCCAGAGTTACTTTGTCACTCCCTCTCTTTCTCTCTTTCTCTTCCTACCCTTCTTGTCCTCTCTTTCTCGCTTCGGACGCTCTTTACACTTTCCTAAAGGCCTTCGCTCGGCCGCAGAAACAATCCGTTCGTGCTAACTCCGCTTCGGCCGAACCGACGTGGTGAATGTACATCGTGGTACCGAGAAGTCAAGAGCCAGTCGTACCAAGAAAAGTCCTCGACTCTTTTTGACTCGGAGAAATGCACGAGGCACTGCATACAATTCGATCCAATCTAAACATCCACCTTTACAGAAGATATGTCGGACGATGACACGGGGGGGAAACGATTTCTCCTGTCCGAACGCTATTTCACAGTACAACGTCTCATCGTATTTAATCCAGTCTCCTTCCTCCCGGAAAAAAAGGCGTCAGTCGTAATATAGCTGCTTTCATTATCGCACGCGCCACAAGATCGCGTACAAAGGCCGTAAATTATCGGGCGTGTTGCCGAGTCAATTCCGTGTCGTCTCCGCGACGGGGAAGGATCACGCAAATTGCGTTTGACAAACTGGATCGGTGGTAGTTACCGCCTTCTCGCGAGGCGTAATGATCGGCGCGTGGCTACGTGGCCGCACGTAAGGAACCGGACGTTACACGAGCATCGCGTTGCATCGCGAGAGATCGCGCAACCTGGAAAGGAATATTTCCAGACCGATCGGATAAAGTTGTAACGCCCGGGGTGGATTTTATAAAACGGTTAATGCGTGTTCTGTACACGCCGTGTCTAGCCGGTGATCGAGAAGCGCGCTAAGTCGTGTTATTTTCTTCATAGGTGCAACATTCCGACACTCGCTTCTCACGCTCGTCGAAAGTGCAGTCGGCACGCCGAGCCGAGCGCTGCAAATTGCCGGGCGTGACGAGGATTTCGTGTCGTTTCCGAGGGAAAGGATCACGCAAATTGGATTTGACACAGTGGATCGGTGGTAGAGACCCACCCCTCCCAGGATGTAATGATTGGCGCGTGGCCGCGCAACCACGCATGCAGCGCTCGCGGACGCGGATATAGCGGATTATGCACGTGCATAGACCAACGTTGGAGCCTCGTGCACTTCAATTCAATCTCAAGTTTCTCCTTCTCATTATCCTAACGAATATAATTACGTGCGTCTTGGGGTGCTGTCAATTTCATACGGTGTTCTCTTTCAAAAGTGGACTTTGTCCTTTTCGTGTTTTTTTCTTTCGCCGATGTAGAAACGAAAAGTCTCACATAATTACAGCTGTAGCCGGTGGGTAGGGAATTTCAATTCTATTGAGCAAAAAAAAAACATGTGTCAATATCTGTGTTGTAAATCGTATGTGAAAGAAGGCACGACGATACCTGGCGTTTACAATGGCGTTTCGGTGTTGCCGCGCCGAACAACGAACACGAAGGACCGGATCGTCCAAGTCGGTGTGCGGACTTAAGTGAATGAGGAAGATAAACATAATAATTACGGCAAATTGAGGCCTGCCACTGAAAACAGCATTGTGGCGAGCAGAGAGGAGGCGAGAGAAAGAAGCGTGGTCCGTGCGCGGGCCATGGCCGCTACGTGTATCGGTGGAATAAACGCGTTTAACGTACTTGGCGTGCCATCGCGCGGTAGCGTAGGTGAGCGAGGAGAGTTTATCGGGGAAACGCATTTAGACCCTACAGCCACCCGTGGGCTATGCCTACGAGCTCCGGAAACATTGTCAATTTATTAACGTTGTCCGTTCGTCCCAGACCATGTTTTTCTCAGAATCTTATTTTCAGTAGGAACCCTCGGTTTCCTTTCTCTCGCGATTTTATTCCTTTTCTTCCCGCCTGCGTTTCTCCCTGGCATGATTTTATTCCGGAACGTGGAAAGGCGACGAGAATAACCAAACGGAATCGCTATAATATATGCTCAGCCGGAAGCACGGTATTCACCGTGTGGGTCGGTACTCTCAGACGATACCATAAATTGCTCTAATCTCGCGAGCGGTAATAGGCGTATCCATTCTCGCGCCCGTGACGTGCTGGTGAGGTGGGAAGACACGTTGCACATGGTAAAAGAACGCGTGCTTTATTAACTCTTATCAGCACTTTTAACTTGTTCGCGAACGAAGCTACGCTGGGCATCGTCGAGCTTCGTGTCGAGATTTCTCATAGGTCTGGATAATCTCCCTATTGGAGAATCTTAATGCTTAACTGATTAGTCGGTGGAGCAAATGCACGTCTCTTATCGCAGCTATAAAACAGCTAATATTTCTATTTAAAGAACTGCAAGTGGGGGGAGAATTTTAACCGTTGTGTTTTGTATGCAATATAAAAAAATGTCAGTGTGTTTAGCGAACTCTTTCTCGGTATATCTGTAACGATTGTTGAAGAAAATAATTGCTACTAGAAGAGTATTTCAGAAGAGTACTTAAAATCATCTCTCTCTCTACTTGCAGTTCTTGAAATAGAAATATTAGCTGTTTTATAGCTGCGATAAGAGAAGTACATTGTTTCGAGGGATGTCTCATTTTTCGCATCGTAATTAAAATGTTATAAATTCTTGTAAAGACCATATAACGAATTAATAACGATTGAAAGGTGCATCGATTTCGATGAAGTAACGACCTCGACCTAGTGAATTACGTGTTGCATTCGGGAATTTAGCCCCGCGGCTGCGATCGAGTCTCTCGCATACCCGCGCCAGCACGGAGCAGTGAAGTTTGCTCTCGGTGATCGCGTCCAGGCCGGTTTTCGATGCCGCAACGCCGCGGGCTACTCGCCCTTTTTAGACCCTAAAAATAATCTCAAATAAAAATAACCGATAAAATTGCCGAGGTAGAAACAGCGTTTTATTGCCCGATCTCGAGATATCCTATTTTTGGTAGCACATTTCGAGGGAGCGTTGCGGTGTCGACGTACGAGGCGCACTTTTCAAATTACTTTGCTGTCTCCTTTTATTCCGCGATGGCGTGTGTTTATTTTAGCTAAGTACAGAAACCGCAAACGATGTATCTAAGAAGAGCCGACCCGCTCTCTTCTACGCGGCGATCTTCCGCCGTCGCGAATACCTACACGTGTATCTCGATGCACGCGATGTATAAGGCGCGCTGTTAGTGTAATAATAAACTCTCTTGAACGCCGCGGCATGGCTAACAGAATGTATCTTGCGAGTCACAGTGACTGACTACTTGGCGCCTGCACCGATAAACCAACCCCGTACTCGTACTCGTGCACGATTGTCGGCCGTGCACACGTTTAATACGTACGCTGACACTAGAGACGCGGACGATGAATGAGCTAATTGTGC